GGGGGGGGGTTGTTGAAAGAGAGCCTTTTCATATTTTTTTTGGTTCTAGTCCATGCATAAATATTTATCCAAAGACAAGTTGGATACAGCACTCACCAATTGATTGATTCACAGCTTTCATGCAAAGATTCTCATAATACTGCTTCCCTCTATGCTTGCAGCTTTTTAGGATGTCCAGCCCAGCTTGAGCATCTCCATTATACCAGCTCCTTTCAGCCTGAAATTTAGTGTTCTTACCACTAGAAGTATCAAATCCTTCAATATGTTTAATCCTCTCCATCAACTCGATGTCAGCAGGACTAGGATAGGGCAATCCAACCATGACTATGCATCGACCCATCCCATCGCTGAAGTTGATACCTTCTGATACTTTCCCACCCACAATAGCAAGGAGAATTGCACCATTTCTTGATTCGGGATCCCGCTTAGAACTTCTATGGGACAGTGCATCAATTGTTTCCTTGTATTCCTTCAAAACAGTTTCCACATCTGTACTTCTTCTAGGTTCTCTAAATATGCGCTTCTTTTTCATAATTCTTCCAATGATGCCCGACTCCTTCCATGCATCATAGACCTGGCCTTCGTAGTCAAATGATGAGAAGAAAAGAACCATGCCTCCAGGAACTACATTTACCAAATTGGAGACCAAAAGCCCTAGTTCTTGTATCTGCCAATATAGGTTCATGAGTATGTCAGATTCAGTAGTGTACTTTAGGGTAATATTCTAACTGAATGTCAAAGCAACAACTTCTAATTAAGTGAAACTGGAAATCTGGAATTTGCTGGGATAACATAAGTGAATGCAGTATTCATGTAGCACATTCACAGACAATAAGAGAATTCAGTTGTGGAATTTTTTACTTAAAACAGGCATATATGATGGAAGACTATGCATACCATGACTGATGAGCTTCTGGCGCTGTAACTAAAATCAAAGGAGTGGCCAGAAGGCCCCTGAGGAACAACAATTGGTAGAATGTTTGCAGATGGGATGATATGACCACAGGAAAAGAAATGCAACTGATCCGGTGGTAACCAAGGAAATAGGCGTTCTTTTGTTTCCTCTATAGGTTGTAAAGTCCCACCAGCCAATATGACAGCATGAGCTTGATTCAAGATCTGCAAGTAGTAGTGCAGAAGCAAATGGTTTTCCATAAGCGCCTTTGCAAGGGAACTTTGGAATGTAAAAAGATGAAGTTTCTAGCAAACCTCAGAAAATATCTTTTCTCCTGTGAGCATGACATATTTCAAATACCCTCCTTGTTGCATTGAGCATTTTGGCCTTGGCCTTGGCCTTGATATTATTATTCTTCCATCACCATCTTTATTTGTCAGTGACAGTAACATGTTAACTAATGCTTGGAAACCAGATAATGCACTTTCATCATGACTGCTTTGGTCGTCATTTTTCAATCCTGAAACTTCTACTGAGAGTGCTAATTTATGTCCATATCCACATACCTGAGAGCTCAAAGGTCTTCAAAACTAAACGATATTAAAGATGGATAGAGATAGATGAACAACTAGTAAAGAATCAGAAATTATATACCTTGTGCATAATATTGCTTTCTTCTATATACAACAAGAGCTTATACAGATTTATGTTGTCAATATTGAGGGCAAATAGAAACTCGTTTATCGCCGTGGATGACTCAAAGCCACTTTTACTTCCCTCAGCATTACAAAGGGGGTAAAAGGTGCTTTGACAATTCTCATTACGCAAAACTTGTAGAAAAGACCGAGTAAGGACCATCATTATTTGAATATATCTTCGGTTGCCTGGCCCTAACAGATTGCGAAAGCGTATGAAGTAACTCTCCAAGTGCGAATGCACAAGTTCCAACTGAAAATGAAGCAGATCCAATTGGATGTTTCTTCAATGTGAAATACTAGGAAGTAAAACACAAAGAAAAGAATATTAAAGTGCTGGGTAGTGCCAGATGGGATGGTTGTGCGTGTCTGATGGCAATGATTAGAAAATTTTCTTTACCTGTGACAGTGTAATTTTTGCGTTGTGCATGCTGACGAGAGAATCAGCTAAATTATGAGCTTCATCTATGACAACAACACTATCTTTTAAACTTAAACCAAGTGATTCACGCGATGATTTTGAAAGAAGTGATTGATAAGGAAGAACCACAAGATCTGCTGTGTGGACCATGCTTCTTGAGCCATAGTAAGGGCAAGTTTTTAAGTCATTTCCAATCTGAACAAGATCCTCAATATCCAAGGGCCCTTGTTGAGAAACCTCACTTCGGAATTCATTTCCTCTTTTGTGATTCCTAAGCATTGGGCATCCTGAGGACGTCTTGGACCTTCCCGCTCTGCCACAAGCTCTGATGTTCTGCATATAAGTTGGTAAATGAAGTTAAGAAGTTCCAATTTG